TTTTTTTTTTTCCCCAATCTCGGCCGTGGCCGAGCCACACGCGACGAGATGCTCTCTCTCTTTTCTTTTCTTTTTTTTTTCTTTTTTGCGGCCTTGGCCAGCCACGCGACGGGGCTGAGATTGAACAAAAAAAAAAAAAGAAAAAAAAAAAGAAAAGAGGAGATGCACAAAAGCCAAAAATCAGGGCGCTGTATCTTTCCATAATCTAGCAGAAGATTCACTCTCGTTTTGCACATTTCGAGAGTAGTGGAGCGAGGGGGGATCCACTACTCTCGAAATGTGCAAAACGAGACTGAATCTTCGACTAGAACATGGAAAGATGCACCGCCACGAGGCCCCAAGGATGTCACGCATAGGTCGGGAACTCTGGGCAGGAAAAACAAAAGAGGAAAAAAAAAGAAAAGAAACTGGGTCTTTGTCAGCACGTGTATCCACTAGGGCCTCTGCTTCGTTGTCAGCCCGTGTATCTCGTTGGGCCCCTGTATCTCCCTTGCACAAAACACAAAAATCATGGCACTGTATCTTTCCAGGTTCTAGAGAAGATTCACTCTGGTTTTGCACATTTCGTGGAAACTGAGAGTGAATCTTCCCTACAACGTGGAAAGATACAGCAACACGATGTTTTTTTTTTCGTTTTTGTTTCTTCATTGTTTTTTGTTTTTTTTTTGGAAACGGCCTGCCCCTCCGACGTGGATGACTAGACTGTAGTTACAAACTCTGCCCTGCGACAGCCACGCTACGGGGGAGTTTGTGTAAACTTGAGAGGGGACTCGACTCCAAAACGGAAGTTTGAAACCTATTTTCAAACTCTAACCCTGACCGCGCCCTGGTTTTCTCAACAAAAAAAAAAAAAAGAGCCGCACAACAGTACTGCCACGCTGGAGTCAGCGTGAGGGGATGCGCAAAAGCCAGCCATGGACGTGGATACCTGCAAAGTTCAGTGAACCACGCTCCTCAACGTGTGAGATGTTATGATTGGGCCTCGCTGCACTACTATCCACATGCACAATCTTTCCATTTTCTAGCCGAACTTTCATTCTCATTTTGCACGTTTGGAGAGTAGTGCAGCGAGGCCCATTGACGCGTCATGATTGAGCGTCTTGTCATGCATGGCTGGACACGGGAGGACAACATAAATGTGCCATGAGCGTGCACTCTCTGGGCTCTTTTTTTTTTTTTTTTTTTTTTTTTGAAAGTGTTTGGGCCTCGTTAGACACTCCTTACGGTTTCCTTGAGCCACAAGGAAACGTCCTTGTGGTTTTGAAGGGGAAATTGCGGCGTCGTTACACTCATCCTTGGGCCCATCCCCCGAGGGTGTTTCCTTGTGGCTTCCCCGCGGCCGTTTTCATACGCAAATTAGCGGCCGCGGGGTCTGTCGTCCTTGGTCCAGCTTCTTTGTCTGTGTGGAGGCTGCGCGGTCCAGCGACGCGAGGCCGGAAACGGCAGTCTGCGGGCGGCGCGAGGAGAAATTTAAACCCGAGAGCGTGGGCATTCGAAATTCGAATTCCGAATGCCAGCTTCGACAGCGACGACGACGTGTGGCTGGAGGGACGACGGCGTCGTGCTGCGGAAAAGGGCCCGGCGGGGGCGGAGGCCACGTCCAGAGGGCTCCCTCATCTGCTCCCGCAGCGTGTTGTGCTTCCATCGCCGTGGACCTTTGCGCACGTCGACTGCACGTTGCTCTTCGCTTCCGTGCGCGGGGTTGTGAGCGGAGAAAAGGGGCCACCTTCTCAACGGACGTCTTCGGGACCATCGTCCGGTGCGGGAGGACGACACAGACGGCAGCGGAACGACGGGCTATGGAGGGCGGCGCCGCGGCTAGACGTGATGTGCTGAGTCATGGTGAGCTGCAGGCGGTGGCGGCGGCCGTGTCGACGATCGTTCTTCCATGTCAGCAGGAGAGGGCGCTGGGGCGACTGAAGGAGCATTTGCGCGCGCGTAGATGGAGGACATTGACGCAAGATCTGCACGATGGTGCCGAGTTCGTGGCGACGTCGGAAGCTGTTGTTCAGCTGTGCTATGCGTTGGGCTGCGGAGTGATACCCCGCGCGACGCCGCGGTGGTGGGTGAAGCGCAGGACAGGAGGAACGTGGGAAGACCTCAGGCTATGCGGCAACGCGACTGACGACTGCTTCCGCGATAAGCTGCGAATGTCGCCGCGAGTGTTCCGGGAGATCGCGGAGGCGTGTGCGCCTCATCTTCAGCGGCAGGTGACGTTCTACAGGGAGCCTTCGCAGCCGGACCAGATTGTTGCGTACGCACTGTACAGGTGGGGTTCAGGTGAGACGTATGAGAGCAGCACGTGCAACTTCGGGATCGGACGAGCTTCTGGGCTGATTGCCGTCCGCGACGCGACGGCCACGCTGCTGAGGGTGTTCGGCGATAAGATAACGTGGCCGACGGAAGTTCGTAAACAAGTTGTTCTTCGGGCGTTCGCTGATAAAGGCTTCCCAAACTGCCACGGTTGCATTGATGGCACTCACATCTACGTCGACAAGCCAGCGAATGCTCCGAGCGAAAATTACTACGACAGGAAGCGTCGTTTTTCCATCGTCGCGCAGGTCGTTGTCGACTTGGACTTACGTGTGCTGGACGTGCACATGGGATACCCCGGTAGCTGCCACGACATCAGGGTGCTGCAGTTGTCCAGCCTGTCGCTGCGCGCGGAGGAGGGGTCGTTGTTCCGCGGGCCCCCCGTCACACTGCCGTTCGGTGTGAAGACGAACGGTTACCTTCTGGCGGACAATGGGTACCCCCCTGCTCAATGGATGGTCGTCCCGTACGGCGGTATCAATCAGAGCGTCGAGCAGGAGCGGTTTGACAACAAGCAGAAGGTGGCAAGGGGAGCGGTGGAGAGGGCGTTCGGCAGGCTGAATGGCATGTGGCGGCTGTTTCTCCGAACACACAAGACAAACCTGGAGACGCTCCCGCAGCAGTTCACCGCCGTCTGCATACTGCACAACTTACTAATCGACGCAGGGATCCCCTTCGACGAGAATCTGCTGTGGGAGGTCGACGGTAATGGTGTGCGACAACGAGTGGACCTGGGGATCGACGAGCCCCTCCAGCCTGTGTCGATGTTGACGTCGACCCGCGAAGCCTTAGCCCTGAGGCATGCTTTGGCAGAACGAATGAAACACGAATGAGTCGTGTATCATTCATGGACGACAGCACATGAAGATGGCTTAATTGCAACAATGGGCGGACACCAGATTGGTGTTTCCGTCCTCCCTTGATTGGGTCGCTGTCGTCTGTACCCCGACGGGGTTGGTGGTTTCTGTGGAGGGTCGTTATTTGGATGGTGGAAGGCAGCGCGTGGAAGTGCGATCTTGGTGCAATGGCCGGTGGGCAGAATCTCGGTCTCGTCGGCCGTCGGCTTGGTTGCTAGCCCTGTTAGGCGTCGTGGTCGGCAGCTTGCGTCGACGATTGTGTTTGGTTAGCTATTGCAATCCACGGATGTGCGTCACGTTCCTTTTTTTTTTTATGTTCAAATTTTGTTTTTGGATGCCGTTCATCAGGAGTAGTGCGGAACATGCTCATTGCGGGTGTGCGGTGCGCCTTTTTCAACAAGAGTTAACGCATTTAGAGGTTAGAGGTATGGTGTTCATTCGGGTGGGCATGAAACTTTCCCCCCATCTCGGTTTCGAAAAAGAATTTTGTAGTGCTGTGATTTCTTCTGCGACGTTGGAAGTACTCTTGTCAGTCGTTTTCGCCCATTTCCATAATGTGTTCGCATTCGGTGTGCACCTGTTTCATTGCGTCAATGTCGTGCGTTGGCGTTTGTGATTCGTTTGATGTTCAGCGGCCAAGTATTCCCTCGACTGATGAGTGCAACACGAACACATGCACTGTATGCCACTGGGATGATTATGGAATGCGAAAAAAAAAAAAAAAAAAAAAAAAAAAAAAAAAAAAAAAAAAAAAAAAAGTAAAGGAAAAAAAAAAAAAAAAAAGGTCTTCGAAGCGACGATCGAAAATGGCACGTGCAAATGAAGATTTGATGTGTGAATGTGCATCGAGTACTGCATGGACCGTCAGGTTAGGAAAGAGAGCAATCACACACTGCGAACATACGAAACATCCGTCCCAAATCGAAGACATGAAGAAAAAAAGGTGCGCTTCCAGCGCGTTATGAATGTACATGACGCATGCTGCGCTGACAAGGAAACGTGAAACAACATCGCGGAAACCTAACTTTAATCCGCTCCTACAATCTACTGCATACAACGCCTCGCACCGTCGCATGAACACTGGCAACTGCCAAACTAAATGAACAAGCAAGTACACCGACAAGTGAAGTTGCATCTACCACCCTGCCAGAGTGGACAGCCGAAAACGGAGGGCGTCTACACGCATGACAGACACGCTGTGCTCGTGCGGAACGAAGGGAGAGACCAACAACAATGTGTGTCGTGACGCGCCGCCACCTAAACTGCAGCTCTTGGTCCCGCCAGCACCACAACCTGTGTACTTCCCTAACCCGCGGCGGCACACGCGACGTGTTCACCAACCCTTTCCCGCCGTCCACGTGCCATCACGAGCGACAAGCAAACCAAGGCGATCTAGCACAACACCACCCCTCCACCCCCTACGCGTCGTTTTCTCCATTGTCGTCACCGTCCTCCTCCAAGGGGCCCCGACCCAACCAATCCCTCGTCTTCGCGTCCTCTGGCGACGTGATGCTCGCGTCGTGGCCGAACGTGATGCCGCAGGAAGCCCAATCGGGGACGCACATGACGGTCGACTCCTGGTACGCAGCCATGTTGTCGTCCTGCGGCCTGTCATTGATGTTCATCCCCGCAAACCACAGTGGCAAGTCCATATTGAGGTCAATCGTGTGCGCGCAAACGGCCGCGCTCACCACGTTGCTCCACTCCTCGTCGTACCACATAACGCGCGCAAAGTCCATCGCCACCGACTCCAACGCGTACTGGAAAGTGAGATTGTATCCGCGGGGGCGTTTCCCTGACTTGAGCACCCACCCATGCAAGACGCGCAGAACTATGTTCTCTGCAACCCCCCTGCAGATGATCGTTTGCTGTAGTTGAGCGGGATCAGCAATCCTCTGGAGGGTCGTCGCGGATTTCGGCATGACGACGCTCCTAGACACGACGGGCGCTTGCACCCCACTGGCGATGGCCTCGAAGTGCTCCCGCGTTCGGTGGACGATGTCGTAGAGCCGGCGCCCCTCCCCCGTTGTCCTGAACGCTTTGTCGTCGACCCACATGAGGGCACGGTCGGCAAGATCTCTCGCCAACCCTCCCCTCCGCTCCCGGCTTAAAAGGGGGTCGTCGTCCTCTCTTTCGCCCTTATTCTCGCCACGCGCAACCTCCCGCTCCACAACAGGAACCTCCTCTCTCGCCCCCGCCATGGCAACGACATTGCCCGAGGACCCCGCTCCTGCACCTGCGATCGCGCCAGCGCTCGCCACGCGCGGTTCTTGCTGGGCCACCTCACCTCCTCCGCGTTTAGTAGACCCTCCATTTGGAGCCGTGTTAAGCGCTCGCGGGTGCGACAGCGTGGATGGCATGGCGCCCTGAGGTGACCTTTCTTCATGCGCGGAGCGTATCCTTACTCCCGTCGCCGTGGCACCTTGCATTACATTTCGCTGCCTGCGGCTTTCCAATGGCGCATTGTCCTCGTCGCCGACGTCGACGACAACCTCCTTTGCTTTCGTGGTGCTCTGCCCACGACCTTGTTGCCCCTCTGGGGGGGGCGTGAGCAATCTCCTCGACGTGGCCTGATCACTCTTCGCTTGAAGATTGCTGCCCCGGGGTGCCGTCACGGTGTCATGTGCTGCTTCCTCCTCCGTCGTGAACACGTCGTCATCTTCGTCTTCGTTCGATGCCGCCCAATACCGCCCTCGTCGGACAGCCACGCTTGGTGATGCCTCTTCTGAACGGAGCCTCTTCGACTTGGGGACATGCCGCCGACCCACTTCCCGCCCCTGGGTGTCAGCAGGGACGTTCTCCCGCTTCTTGCCACGGCCGACGCCTCGCGTAGACATGATTCCCGTGCACTAGTGTCGCAGTGGTTGGCGAGAGTGCTCCACGGCGAGAACAAGATCGTCGGTGGTGAATAACGCCGCACCTCCGAACGACGTAGACTTGTCCGCAACGATAAGGACAGTCTGCTCCACGTGGACGTCCTTGTGCTTGCGAGACGATCGTCGAGCGCGATCGACGACGACAGTGTAGAAGTCCCACTCGTGGAGCGCGAAGACAGGGGCGACCATGCGATGGCTGCGCGGTGCATCGAGGACAGAAGGCAGGTGGCGTCCCGCGCGGATTTCGTTGCTGGTCACCGTGTGCACCGACCTCCGGTACTGGATATGCCGCAAGCACAACTTTATGCTGGAGCAGGCGCAGGCCCGCCAGAAACATGGAGCAGCTGGACGGACCCCGAGCACGATTCTTCGCCTACCGTCGTTGTCGACAGCGACACGTGTGACAGCAACTCACCAGACCTCCTGCACGCGCACGCCCTTCAGCTTTTGCGACGCCCACCGTCCCCGCCGCGCGTACAGACCCTTCCACGCTTGCACAGGCGCACGTCCATACAACACCAGGGGCCGATGTGAATTTCCTCCAGAGCACTGCCCCCACCAACACCCCATCCCAACACCCCCCCCACCCCTTGTTTGCTACGACACCCGCCGCGCAATCGTCGACCCGCATGACCCACTCAACACGTGCCCCTCTCGCCAGGGACACCGCAAATGTAGCTCAGAGCACTGCCGTGTTTGAAGAAACGCAGAAAACATATATATATTAAAAAAACACAACAAAAGGAACAATTCTAAAAATAAGGCAGTGAAAGCATTCGCCGTCGACACCCAAACCCCACCCACCCACCCACCCACCCACCCACCCACACACACACACACACACATACACACACACACACACGCACACACACACTCGCTCTCTCTCTCTCCATCCGCGGATGTACATGAAAATGCGCGCCAGTCATGATCTCTCGCGGATGGCTTTTGCTATCTCCAGGAGGGCATTGCACATCATTCTATTCGCCTCATCCGCTGCTGCATAGTGATTCCTCTGCACCTCCACCTCGCTCTCCAGGATTTCGCACTGTCGTGACATCATAGAGCATTGCCGCTTGTTGGCGCTGTCCATTGTGCTCGCCATGAGCGCACCATGCTTCTCCATGACGTCGGCGACGGCTTCAAAGGTTTGTTGCCGCATGTTCTTCCTCTTCCCATAACCGCCGCCGCTTCCCACGCTGAATGACGAGTCTTTCGTCGACCCCTGCTCCTCGTCTGCCGTCTCCCCTCCACCATCGCCGCCCATGGTGCCCCCMCCCCCCCCAGCGCCTGTGGGCATTTGAACCCCCCCCGCCGCCCCAGTGTCCGCCAAATTTGCTGGGTGGATCGTGTGATCCCCCTTCGTCATGGCCTCCATTTCGCCATACACGCTCCGGTCCATGACGAAGCTGAAGCCCTCCGATCGCTTGTCCCTCGAAGCAAGCCTCAAGTAGTCCTTCCCGCCGGAGAGGTTCTGAAACTTGTGCACCTTCTTCAATTGCTGCATCAAGTTGTCCCATTTCTTCCCGCAGTCGACGACATCCCTCGTCACTCCCATCGCCTGCAACCTCATCCGCACGTCCTCCCACTTCCACGCGGCCGTTTTCATGCGGGCGAAACTAGTCCCCAGGTCGGCGATATACAGATCTTGATCCCTTTTCGCCCTCACGAGCGCAACCGTGTCTCCCGCCGACCAGAAATTCCGGCCGCCCTCGCCATCGCTCCGACCTGTGTCGTCATCCATGTTCTTTGTCCGTCTCGGTTTCGTGGTGGGGCCCTTCTTACCACCGGATCCGCCTCTCGTCGCCCTCCTCCCAAGCGGCCTGATGTCTGGTAAATCGTCGGACTCGCAACCGTCCTCGCCATCCACGTCGTCACACCCCTGCCCCTCCTCAACAGCCGCATCTTCCACTTCGTCGACGTGCAGCCGTTGCACTCCTCTGGTGATCGTCTCCGTTTCACCTCGATGCAACTCCTGCCTGCATTCTGCCCAGACCTGCCTGCCGTCGCGTTGCATGTCCGCAAGTCCCCCAATCAAATCCTTTGCCGGCTGCCGCCCTCGAGTAGCGTCGGGTCCGCTTCGCGCCGCAGGCGACAAGCGCATCCAGTCCGGTCGTTTACGCGCACCGAATCCTCCACCGACGCTCGGCGAGGAGTTATTACGATCACCTCCACCGTCTCGAACGGATTGAGGCAGACCGCCGTCTCGTGGGCCGCACACACCGCCTTGCGTGTTGTCCGCGCAATCCCCACCCGGGTGGGGATTGATGATCCGACTGTGCGTTGCGGCTGCTCCGCTGCTGCTCGACAGCTGAAAGCTCAGATCAACCGCTGCATCGCCGTCGTCATCTCACATCCCCTCGTTGAGAAGTGACGTGTAAGACCACAGCGTCTCCACCCCCTGCCGCCTCACGATTGCGTCGCCGCCCAGTCCTGCGTAGAACTGCTTCCCAACGGCAAAGTCGGCGACCTGGTTCCCCCCCCTCGTCATCCGACGGCGGCAGAGGAATCTCGTGAGAAGGCAGGTGCGCATACAACCTCGAGTCGTATGGCTGCTTCGCCACCGACCCCGCACTGCGTTGGCGATTAATAGGTCCGCCGGATGTGCCTGTCGGTCTGCCGTTCGGCAGCCATCCAGCCATCCTATCAGCCTTCCTGGGAGATCTCCTTCTGCAAGACGCGACCGGGACGAGGCCGACGAGACACACGTGGTAGAAGACAACGGCCAGAAGCAGCAAGACGACGAGGAACAGCCGGGGAAGCCTGTGCAGCAGGTCGGCCATGTAAGGGCCGTTTGAAGGGGATGAAACCGACGTCGGCGGTGGACCGTTCAATGAACAAGGTCGTCGAGACAAGGAAGATCGGTGGAAGATCTGTGCTCGAACGTGTGAAGCGTGACGGCAGTGGAAGAAAACGACGATCCTGTCGAATGACTGTCGTCGCCGAACGGGGAGTCGTGTACAAAAACTTTCGAATTTCGTACCGTTGTCGACGATCGCCCGCCGGAGCAGACCGCACGATGGCGGTGGCAGTCGAGTCGCGCGGACGGACGGAGGCCTCGCGCCGCCGGTTACCGTTTGGAGCCGTTGGGACGACGAGCACACTTTCGAGGCGGAGATGTCCGTGCTCCCTTTCGACGGACCACGTCTGGACCACCCTCCAACCGAAATTGTGCATCGACGCATGCCTTCGTCGCTCCGAATTTCGCGCTTCCTTGTGTTACGAGGGACCTCGGGAGGTCCCTTGGGGTTTAGGGAAAATTGGTTGTGGCCACAAGGACGCCACAAGGCAACGTCCTTGTAGTGTTTTCACTTTTTTTTTCGACGATCGTCCCCAAGGATAGGTGTAACGATCATTTCCTTGTGGATTTCGGGTCCATAAGGAGTGTCTAACGAGGCCCTTTGTTTGATTGCAAAGGTGAAGAAGCGAGGCCGGGGACCCCACAATTCAACCCGGAATAGTATCCTCTGGCAGCATTAGCCAGTTTCACTTTTTACGGCGCCTGTTAGGAACAGAAAACCATCAGTTTGAATTGAAAGACTGACAAAAGGTTCAACTATGCTATGCTACTCTGGTGTGGGGGAGAAAAGGCAGTAAGGGGGAGTGTTACTGTTATAGTCTCAGGATAAGGGATCTTAGGTCAGGAGGTTGAGACTAAGGATGATCAGAGTTGTGGGATGGGGGAAAAAAAGGGGGGGTGAAGGGAGACGGTGGTTTGAAGGGAGGGAGGAAGGGAAGGGGGGGAGGGGAACTAAGGGGACTTGGGAGGGTAAGAAGGGTGAGGGGACTACGCTACTGGTCTCTCAGGCCTATGAGAGATTCGGCCTGGAATCAGCTTAAATACGGCTGGTTGGAGCCAGGGGGGTTGGCTGCTGGGCCTTTTTTTTTTTTTTGGAAGACGTCACATTGCCATTTTCAAAAACCAAAGGATGAGGCCGGGAATCCCTTAACATACAACACGGAGAGGTGCTGGGGCCTTTACCCAGCATTGGCTCTAGCTGGAAACCGGGTCCAGCGTCCCATCCATTCCTTATAACCTGAGATCTTCCAAAAGCTCAACTTGAAGCCCAGTAAGAAAGTGAGAGCCTCTTCTAGCTACAAAATTATAACTCCATATATCCAATGAGGGGCTCCCAGTTACCAGATGAAAGTATCATATACCTGAGCAGGCCTTCTGATTTTCCTATGAATCCTTAGGTCTTGCCTGCTATGCTAATATCAAGGCCTAAATCGCCTCCCCTGGTCTCAAAAGCGACCATGAATTCGTATTAATCATGTGTATCGAAGAACCAGGAACACAATGACATTTTGCCTTCTGCAGAGACGGAGACCATGTTTTCTGGAACCACCATCCATTCTTCCTTTGCCAATCTGCCTTAATGATCCTTCGCAGTTGTTGCTTGATTTTCTGTTGTTGTTGTCTCCGGGGGTTGTCTTCTCCGCGAAAGACCCGGTTGTTTCTGGCAGTCCATATTACATCCATCAGTACGCCCCTGCAACATAGAGCAACGTAGCCCCAACCATCCTTATAGTGCATGCCTGTTGGGAGCACCCCTGTAAGCATCCATGTATCAGACCAGTCAAATATTCCCCCAACTATTTTGGGCCAGTGGTGTTTCCACCACATCATCAACTCATCTGTCAGAGGAAAATACAGCCATAAGTGAATCATGTTTTCCCACTCCCAGTTACAACGCATTCATGTGACGTGCAACCTCACGCCCTGTGCTGTCTTCCGTTCGGAGTGCTAAGGGTGTGGAAAGAAGGCCCATAAAAACAGCAAGATGGGGTGTGCCAAGGATTTTTGAAAAATTGAGTGTGGGGACACAGACAGAACTTAAATCCCCCGTGTTGGTCCGATGAAGTAAGTCGGTTGCTTTCGCGCGTCTCAAAATGCGCGTGCGGGCACGGCGCGAAAAGGAAAAAATCCAAATTCAATCTAAAAAGTATTGTCGAACTTCCCACCGCGCTGTGGATCTTCGTTTAGAACGGAAGGGATTCGGTACACTCCGCGTGTCCCGTTTCCGTATCAAGTCCCGACGTCGCTCGTTGGTCAGTTCCGAGTCCGACGTGGAGGGTCTCAGTCGCGTGACTCTTTCCTTGTGCTCGTCTTCACTCCGTATTCGGTAGTGAAAGCCCTTTGATTTGTAGCGATCGAAACGCTGGCACTCCGTGCAGAGGGTTCGAGGCCAATGGGGTGCCACTGCCGTCCATGGAATGACGATCAGCTCGTTAAATGGCAATAGTACTGAGTAAGGTGGGTAGTGTGTATCAACAATGACAAAGTCCGCGTCCACGAATCCAGAACAACGATTTTCGGGAGGGAAGTAATATCGCCCGCCGATCCGCGCGGCAGCTTTTCGTACGTCCCACTCGCAAACACGTGTCCTTTCCTCGTTGTAAGGGAAGGGGCGCGTTGGCGAGGGAGATACGGGAGGCTGGCACCTGATCGAGGTACGCCCGTCAGTCCACATGTCAATCAATCAAAATGAATTTGCAGAAACCCTCGGACGTCATCAAAAAGCACAATCGCAAAAACTAACTCACATTTTGCTCCCTTTCAACATGAGGGAAACATCTTACAGAGCCCGTACAACAATGCAATAATCAGGGTGGAGTTTCAAGGGGATCCGGCCGCGACTCAGGTTCAGCAGACCAGATCAACAAAAAATCTGAGGCGCCTGGCTTTTTCGAGGCTGCCCCATAAACTGTCTGCAGATGTCGTGCGCTATAAGGCAGATGGCATGCGCAGTGTATTCAGAACGACAAATCTAAACGCTCTTGCATTCTCGAGCAAAATCCCGCCGAGTTCTGGGTCTAATCAACACAACCAACTTCACATACAAGCATTCCTCTGCATACATCCACTTTGGAAGGGGCGAAAATGACAATGGTGCATCAAAAGCAAATCGGGGGATAGTACACATGCATCCACCATTCACAAGACAAGAGGATTGAGATCCCTTACATCCGGGGATTACCCAGGAAACTAATGGAAGAGTTCCGGAAGAAGTTTTTCTGCGCGGGAAATCGCGAGGATTCACTTCTGTTCATAGGAGAGACAAACTCATAACACATCGTCATTCAAATCAGAGAGAGAGAGATGGGAGAGATAGACGAGAAATGTCGAGACAGGAGACACCGAAATCCGACAAGGGAACATTCGGCTTCACAACCATGAACTCGCACAAAAAAAAATGATCTGCAACCAAGAAGGCGCATTCGCCATGAAATTCCAGTATGGCCTCAGGCCAATCATCCACTCAACTCCAAATACCGATCCTCATACCCGCACCAACGATCCCGGCCGTCTCGTGCTAACTTCCACCGCTGCGATCGTCACCCCGCTGACGCAAGCTCGACACGGCTCGCCCGGATCCCACAGTCCGTCGTGGCAATCAAGCGCGCAGCCGGCCAGCCTACAGTCATCCCGACAGGACTTTTCGACTCGCATCAAACGCATCACCTAGCCACTGCTTCCTAGAAGCTGGCTTGAGACTTGAAAACGTAAGAGAGATTTGCGGGCGCGCTTGCGGAATTTATAGTTGTCAAAAACAAGACAGACGGGGAAGAAGACAAAGGGAAAATCGAGGTGTAAGAGGAGAAGGTTCAGCGAGGGGTGCTCAAGGGAAGCCATGTTGATCCTTCGGAACTCAATGTTCAGCCAACCAGATTCGTCGCGCAACAGGAAGATCCTCTTGCTAAACGCGTCTGATTGGTGAGCGAGGGTAATCGAAGGATCAACCGGGTTTCGTGAGCTAAGGTTGAAGAGCGAGAAGGAAAGAGGCGCGAAAAGTAGCGCGAGACGGGTCCAAGATTCAGATGATCAAGAAAGGAAATAGGCGCGCAAAGAGCAGAGAGAGGGAAAAACAGTTGCGATAGGAGAAGAAGAGGAGAGGGAAGGGAGAGGGAAGAGAGCGCGGGGGAAGAATGGCGCGGGAAATAAGGAGGAGGAAGCTCGCATGCGCGGTGCCGACAACAAGAGAAAAAGGCACCAAAATAGTTACAACTTGCTTATGTCCTACACCAATTCAAAAATTGAAATCGCCATATCCGCGCGCGAAAGTCGACGCGGGGAAAGAGAGTCCTATGCCTATCCGTATTCTCACAAAATTGATAGAGTTTTCTCCGACTTGACCGAGAACATTCATGCAAAGAAAAAGACACGTCGGGTTTCGCTTATTCCGGAATTCCTAACTGTCGAGCCCGATTCCCAGTGCGCTCGCTAAGGCGCGCGTAATTTCCCATGCATTTCCTGAATTACAAAAAGCAGAATTCCAAAAATCAATAGAACCTTCGAAAAATGGGGGTCTAAACAAGGCACCTGAAATCAAGAAAAGCGACGGGGGCTTTGTTGGGTCGGTATGATACAAAAGGGGGAATTGAGTCAAGGGGTACGAAAGATAGCATGGGGTCAGGAAGTGGTACGTCACATATGTGACGCGCAGGGGGTTCCAAAACTATGGGATCTCCTGATTTCATGAAAAAACCTTGAACAAAGGAAGTGGGAGAGGACGAAGAAGCAGGAAGAAGTAGGAGGAGACGAAGAAGCAGGAAGAAGTAGGAGGATTAGATCAGCACAATCTATGTCAGCAGAGAAAACTGAGCCGGGGTATGAGTTGACGACAACATCCGTGGCAAGATCTTCGTGATGCATGCCGACTCAGGCTGTCTCGGATCCCCATCCTCTGCGGTTCTGTCATATGCAACCCCCTGTCCTTCGAACTTCGGAGATCGTCCAGGTGGCACCATCACGGTCCATCAGGTCTACATGTGTTTTGCACTCCCGTCCAGCGCAATTCATCGAATCAGAGCATGTGTTGACATCATCGTCAAGGGCGTGATCTTCGCGAAACTGCTGATTCATGTTGCTCGGGGGACACGTGTCGATTTATCTAGTCGATCGCCATGCTCACAACGGTCATTGACAAGAAGAGGGTGGGATGCGCCGCCGTCGTGACACGTGGTAGGTATCAGCGCCGCGTGGGAATGGGAAAGTAGACATTGTACATGGAGGGGTGTCGACGGGGAGGGTTGGAGGGAAGTGGGGGTAAGTAGCGGTTCATCCCTTCCTCTGTGATTGGAAGCTTCTTGTAGCGGATGATCCGGTGAAAGCGGGAAAATCGGACGCCGCTGTGAGGGAGGGAGGCGAGGTAATCAAGGTAGAGGGTGGAGAAAGTGCGGAAGAGCGCCGCGCGAAATAGCTCGTGATGGCGGCATGCGGGGATGGTTCCTGTGACTACGCAGTAGACTTCTACTGCGTTTCTCTGCTCCAACGCTGCACTAAGCAAAAGGATATGCAAACAGAACGTGGGGGTTGCACATTGAAGGGAAGGATGGGGGTGAACGGTGACGGCGAGGCCGGTGGAGTAAAGTGACATAAGGTATTGGGGGGGAAGGGGTTGCGAGTGAAGGTGACGGGGGTAGAGATATGACAGAGGGTGAGGTAATCAAGGGGACGGCGGGATAATGACCGGGGACGAAGGCCGATCCCCCGCATCGGTACGTGGACGAACAGGGGGACGGGCTGAGGTGGAGGGGGAGGGGGATTGACTCCGTCTCCGTCGCGATGCGCTCGGAATCGCGGTTGCTAGGTCGCCATCTTCGGGCTTCGGGGGCTCTGGATCCCTGGTCTGGTCATCGTTGATGCGCAGGTTCGCCTCGCAGGCAAACTCCAGCTGGCTTTTCCCGGCGACGATCTCTCCCCTCTTACGTGCCGCCTCGGGATCTTCTGCCTCCGTGCCTGTGCCCGCCGCTTCTTCCGGCAAGGCTTCTCGTTCCGATCCGGCTTCCTCCTCTTCCTCTTCTTCTTCTTCTTCCTCTACACTCTGCTCCCCTTCGCTGTGCTCACTATAACTCCCTTCCTCCGATGTTTCTTCGTCGGCGTCGTCCTCTTCTTCGGTGGCTTCTTCCTCTCCTGCCTCCTCGGACGTATCTTGCTTTAGATAGAAGGCGAGATTGATGATTCCGGACGGCCTCAAGTACTCCTGTCGCGATGGCGGGGCGCTTTCACTCCCCGGTTCCTCCAAGCACGCAGTCCACTTCAGATACGGTGCCAATGTCCGCGTAAGGACGTGCGGAGCCGGACTCTCGTCACTTTGGGAAACAATGTCGAGAGAGAGGTCGTCGACCAGTTGCACGAGCGGGACGACGAGTTCCTGGACAATTAGCTGGCGATGGCCTGGTCGCACCGATCCGAAAAGAAAACCGAGAAGATCGCCCTCTACGTCAATTCTTCAAGCCTGGATAATCAGCAGCTCCAGGTACTCGATACACGCCTGATGCTCGTCGGTCCTCGTCCACGTCGCCTCCACTCGGGCCAAGCACACAGACAGATCGACAAAAGTCTCGCGCCACACCCGCCAATGCCTAGGATCGAGGAGCGGGACTGCAAGGGGCTCGAGCAAGAAGAAAAGGCGAGGATGAAGATCAGATTGTCAGAAAGTGGGGAAAAGAGAGGGAAGACCAAAGGTGGAGAGAGGAGCGAGAGGAGCGGTGCGGTTCATTGGGGGCGTTGGAAGGGGACGAGTGTGGGGAGCACCACTACCGGCTGGCGCGTAGAGGTGCGGATCTCGTCGAAGTCAGTCCCGTACGTTGGGACGAGGTTGCACCCGGGGCGCGCAAGACTGTGATGCCACTTAGTCGATAACTGCTGCATCCACTCCTGTAATGTGATCTGGATCACGGTATGCCAAAGCGGGCTGACCTCGCTGATATCAGCGACCGTGGTGACGTGGCTCGTTCCTGGAGCCGCCCCTCGATGAAAGGCCACCACCTCTGCCCATACTACTGCCTGTGGACTTCCGGCGAATCGGAACGCAGTGGCGGCGCACACACCCTCGGTGCAGAAAAGCTTCTCCAGTCGTCGAAGGTCAGGACTGATTTGCGGATGACGAACTTGCCGGATCTCCGAGATGTAGCCACGTGGCTGCAGCAGATGATTGCCAAGAGCTTGCTCCGTGATGAAACTCATGGCGAGGACGGGGAAGAAGATGAGAGATGGGAACAAGAGGGAGAGAACGAGGCGGGAGCTTGATCGTCGTTGTCCTCGTCTTCAGCAGATGAGGGAGACGGAGAGAGATCAGAAGGAGGGAGGGGACGAATGTAAAAGGTATGGCGGACGATGGGGACAGAGCTATGGTTGGCACTGGCCTCGGGTGCAATGCGCACCGTGTTGGCACCGTTGGGTCCGAGCTCGACAACGCGAAAACAACCGGAGAACTTGGGAGTGAGTTTCCGGTCGCATGCACATGTACATACCTGCACCAGGTCCCCCAATTTATATTAATGTTTGGGACCGGCGTTCCCATTTCGGGCCTCGTAGCTACGGACTTGCCTCCCGTGGGCTAGGTCAGTCATTTTCTGTCTCTTTCGGGCTAACTTTGGGACGGCTCTTTCCATGAAATCAGCATACCTTTTGGCCTTGGCCTTAAGGGTGGCACACGTGTCTCTACCCCCTGCTTCGACAATTTTCGAGTTGCCCCGGTAATCGACACATGGGAGGCTATTGGTGCGAAGCTGAAAGGGGGTGAACCCCGCAGATTCGTGAGGGGTGGCCCCGTGAATTCCGACGATTTGGTATACGATCTCGGGCCACGGACGAGTGTCATGCGCCGCTAGATTTTTACGAAGGACAGTCTTAATCATGCGATTAACATTTTCAGCCAACCCATTCGACTGGGAAACGTGGGGTGCCGTGTGTCGAAGCGTAATGCCTCAGCGCAGTAGCAATTCCTCTACCGCTCCTTTGAATTCGGACCCGTTGTTGGTTAGAATCTCTTCAGTATCTAGGTGCGTATAGAGGAACCGGTCGATGTATGTGGCTATCTCTGCGGCCTTACGGGTCTTGCAAAGGTAGACCTTGATGTATTTGGAAAAATTGTCTATTAAAACTAAAAGGATGGAATATTTGCAACGGTTTGGGCTAGGTGGCTCGTCGATATCTGTCGTGTCCATACTGACTCGTTGGAAAGGGCGCTCTACTTTCGTTGGTACTATCGTGTTGGGTCCCCCCATTGGGGCACAATCGGCGACACAGACCAGACAGTTGGCGACTACGTATCTAGCAACGTCCCATATATTAGACCAAAACCATCGATTTTTATCTATAGTTGCTTTAGTGACACGTATCGCGAAGTGAGCGGCCTGCTCGTCGTGAGCAGATCGGGTCCAATCATATCTCTAGAATGGATGGGGAACCGTCAACCACAAACCTGATCCGTCAGTTTTACGCTTTTCCAGGTGACCGTTGAAGCATCGGTAATCCCGGGATCTCTCTGTAGCCTGACGTCTGTCGTGCTTAGTGAGATGATCCAATGGTAAACCAACCAATTTAGCTAATAGAATTTTATCCGTCCATACTTCCGCTCGTCGGTATTTCTCGTCATATTAAGGGTCGTCCGTTCGGGCAGCCTCGAATCGAAGCTCGGTAGGGAGTTTGTCCATTCTACACAGAGGGCACTTCCATTCCCTACTATTCGTTCGGTATCGAACACATACACCGTGTGCACGATTGACATACGTGGCACAGTCCACCCAATCAACGAATCCGGTCTCAAAAGGGTGACAGTCCACCCCATAAACCTGTGTAATACACGTACAAAAATAGCAGAATTTGTCGGAAAGGCTGGCGAAGAAGGCCGAGGAGGCGAGAGGGGCGGAATCAGCAGGGGAAGAAGGGGTCGCAGAGACAGGTGGGGTAGCCATGATGAGAGGGGAGGAGAGAAAGAGAGAGAAAGAGAGAGAGAGAGCAGGGTTGCAGAGAGGGTATAGCAAAAGCCCCGTGTCACTCACTCTTTCGACATAATTTCCACTTGCCCGTACCGCAGTCCGTTCTCATCCTTCGGCTGGTTCCGAGTAATCCTTAGATTTCTTCAGGGCTAATAATGGCTCATGATCGGTGACCAGCATGAACTTCTACCCATACAGATAGGCGCGAAAGTGACTGATCCCCCACAGAGCCGCATAGCATTCTCCTGTCGGGGCGGCATAAGTGCGCTTATAGGCAGGCACCGACTTAGACGTGTATTCCATCACGCATTCGAGTCCGCCTGGTCCCACCTGGGCCAAGATCGCTGAGATTGCCTCCGGCTGCCAGTCCGTGATGGGGACAAAGGGCTTTTCAGAATTCGGCCTTATAAGGACCGGAGCCAAAATAAGCGTTGCTTTGAGTTTCGAAAACGCTTGATCACACTCTGGCGTCAAAATCAACGGTTGATTTTTTTTTCAGCAGATTCGTGAGGGGACCCGCAATAGCCGAGAAGCCCTTGATGAACCTTCGGTAGTACGAGGCCAGACCCAGAAAGGCGCGAACTTGCATGATAGTCGTGGGCACAGGCGCGTCTATCACAGCTACCACCTTTTGCGGTTCCGGTCTGAGTCCCTGGTTTGTCACCACGTGTCCTAGGAAGGAAATGGTGGTGAGAAAGAACTGACATTTCTCCCGCGCCACCTTGAAACCGGCATCCCTCAATGCATGCAACGTCCATTCGATGTGCTGCACATGCCCCTCGTAGGAACTCGAATACACCAGAATATCATCCATGTACACAATCACGCAATAGTTGATGATACTCTGCGCCAGACGTGTCTTCCGCACAAAGTTCTGGAAAGCCATGTTCACGGCTCGCTGAAAGGTTGCAGGAGCATTGCAGATGCTCATTGGACATCAAACTCATTGCCAAGTACCTTCAAACAATACAAACACCATTTTCAGACGATCTTCCTATCGAACAAGAAGATGATGAAATCCATGTCGAACATCAAACTTACTAAAAAATCGAGCACTCCCGATCGCATCCAACGGCTCATCAATCCGAAGAAGGGGGTACACATCTGTGAGCGTGATATCGTTCAGCTTTCGGAGAGATGGTTAACTGCCCTCTTAATATTCACTGATTCTATAGCGAACATTTCGTTGTCTAGGTATAAGAAAAAACTCTCCTTTCCCCTTACCCACTGTTCGGCGAAGATTACACTTATTTTTTTTCGTTTTCTTCTTTCTCTACTTGGTCTACTTTCCACCCGCTTTCTCCTTTCCCTTTCCTCACTGTTCGGTGAAGATTACACTTATTGTTTTTCGTTTTCTTCTTTGTCTACTTGGTCTACTTTCCACCCGCTTTCTCTTTTTCCCTTCCCCACTCTTCGGCGAAGATTACACTTTTTTTTTTTGGTTTTCTTCTTTGTCTCCTTTCCACCCGTTTTCCCTTTTCCCCTTCTCCACTGTTCGGCGAAGATTACATTTATTTTTTTTCGTTTTCTTCTTTGTCTACTTAGTTGACTTTCCACCCGTTTTCTTTTTTCCCCTTCCCCACTGTTCGGCGAAGATTACACATATTTTTTTTCGTTTTCTTCTTTGTCTACTTGGTCTACTTTCCATCCGCTTTCTCCTTTTTCCTTCCCCACTGTTTGGCGAAGATTACACTTATTTTTTTTCGTTTTCTTCTTTGTATACTTTCCACCCGTTTTCTCTTTTCCCCTTCCCCACTGTTCGGCGAAGATT